GCGCCCGCACCGCGCTCAACCAGTGAGCGGACCGGTCTCTATATGGGATCCGAACCCTCGGCGGGAGCACTGCCGCACTCCCAAGCGCCGCACTCTACCGAGTGCGCCACCGGGCCGGCCCCCCAGGTATCTTTTTATTTGTAAAAACACGGTATCACATGATTAGCATTTTTCTGCAACATGCTTGCTTCACATAACAATAATCATGAGGATTATTTCTTGTTAGTTTACATATTGATCTGACTCTTTAAAAACCGGAATTCTGTTAAATACTGTTAAATAATAAGTGGTATGACTGTTAAAGACAGTGTTGCAATGGAAATAACATTTACACATGTATTTTAGTACTTCTTTAGAAATGGATCTTTCTAATCTAATCTAGTATTAGAATTTGTGTTTTTTAAATGCAGATAATTATCATCTCCCAGAAAATACTAATTTATCTCCAATAGTGGGCATTCTTGGTGCCCCACCTAGATCCCCTTGGCTGAGTAGGTGCCTGTTCCCAGCTGCTGACAGCATTGGCTGCTGATGACTCCTGGCTGCCCCCTTCTCCAGAGACGTGTCCTTGGATGACAGATGTTGTTGCCTTGCCCAGGAAGTTACCTGTCTCTCACTGTTCACCTGCCTTGGTCAGCCCACTGCCAGTGGTTGGAACCTGGGGTGCAAAAAGCTGGGGCCTCTTGTTTCAAGACTGGACAAACTCTGTAGGTGCAGTTCATGCCCCAGAACACCCCATGGGATCAGGCTGAAGCCAGACTCCAGCCGAGCCCTCATCTGTGACTAGCTCTTTCCCCTGCCTTAGCCCATTTGCCTCCCTTGCTTTCTCAGTGAATCACATGCATCCAAATCCCAAAGCACTCTGGCCCCAGCAGTGTATGGGAATTTCTGAACTGGATGTTATCAATCTTTTTATATTTTCTTATCTGATAAGTGAAAAATGATGTCACAAAAATTTGCATTTCCATATTATCGGTCATATTAACATTTTTATATATGTTTATCACTTATTTTTTCTTAATTCTGTTTATATTCTTTGCCTATATTTCTATTGGGCTATTTTTTTTGCCCCTTATTGATTTCTAGGAGCTCTATATATTATAAATAATTACTTTGTTATTTATTAAGTGTTTTCTCTTAGTTTTGTTTTTTTTCTTCTTTTAAATTTTATGATGTCAATTGCTCTACCAAAAGTTGTGCTTTGAAAGTACTACCCTATTTAAAAGTTATATATAAAAAACAAAAGCAAACAAAAGACTAAAAGTTGTATACATGATTCTCGTATATTTTTTCTGATATTTATATATATATATATATATTTTTTTTTTTTTTAAGTGGTGATATAAGATGAAGGTAGGGTGGTAATATCCTTATAATTGGACTTTTCTCTCCATATCTTTAGCTATGGCTTTTAAACTCAGACAGTTTGGTGATTGCATCTTTGAGAAGTTTCAAATGTATCAGAAAATTTCCCCTGTTTGAAGACACATTGAAAGCAGATTCTGATTCTCCCTGGAATGCTGTCAAGGTCCTCTACCAGCCATGCATCAAAAGTAGGAACGAAAAGTAAGTTGTGCTTTTTTTTTTCTCATTAAACATTATATTTTCGCTTCTGTTTCCATGTTGGTGTTAAGAAATCAATGAGTTAAATGGTACTATACCACTTCCCTACTTGAAGCTGCTAGGAGTCATACTGCTAAATACTATGCTTTAAAATTTTTAGATCATATGAATTATTGCAGATGACTCATGGTAATATGCAGAGAGCTCGCTTTTACTGAAAATAATTGGTCTTTTCTTGTAATCTCAGCTGTCAATACATATGGCTGCTGTACTAAATCAGGCTTCAAAAACTATGAATATTTACTGATAAGCACTTTCCAGGCATCAGGATATGATAGTGAATGAGACACAGTCCCTGCCTCCTGGGGTCGTCATTCTAATAGGGGGAAGGCAGACCATAAACAAAACAGACAAAAAACCCAAAACAAAATCAAAGACTTATATGGCTCTTATTACGTGTCAGGCACTCATCTATGAGCTTCTAGCTCATTTAAGCCTAACAACAGCCCTGTGGGATAGGTACTATTATCACCTGCGTTTTAAAGGTAAAAGACACAGGTGGTAAATTATTCTAGTGAAAAATGAAGCAAGGTAAGATAGTTTGGGAGTGTAGGATGGGTGTAGTAGGCTGTCCTTTATATTGAAGCATTAGGGAAGTTTCCTCAGATAAGGTGATATTAAAGTGGCAAATTCGAAGGAAGTGAAGTGTTGAGCCATATCTAAGGAAAGAGCATTCAAAAGAGCAGGCGGAACAGCAAGTATTCTTATTTGAACATATTGGAAGTTTATATGCGTCCTCTACTCTCAGGTGGATTTGATCAAATTTGTACTAAGAACAGAAACATCCCAGTCTTTTTCTGGGAAGTAAATAAGACATTTAAAAAAATTATTGCTTCTCTTTGTTTCTTTTTTTGTTTTTTAGTTTTTTTTTTAATGATGCAGTACTTCATCACGTCCCTCTGTAGAAGTAAAAGTTTTTTGTGTATTCATATACTCCTTTTTCTATTTATTTAACATCTTAACATAATTGGAATGATACATGTGTATTTTTTATACTTAACAAAATACAAAACAAAACACTGTGTCCTGGAGAGTCTATGTTAATACTTCCCATTTTATGCAGTGGTTGTAAATGACTTAACTATTTTTCTGTTGGTGGATATTTGGGTTATTACTATTTTGCTGTTATAATTAGTATTGCGCTGTGTACTATTATTTGTTTTGTGATTATATGTACTTTTTTATGAGTGATTTCTAGAGGTACAGTTGCCTAGTCAAAGGTTATGGATGTTTAAAATTTTGGTATATATCAAGTTGTTTTGCAAAGGCATTGCAAATTTGATTTCCTACCTGAAATTTCTATAAATGCCCATTTCCCTGCACTCTCACCAAAACTGCCATTTAAATTTTTGCCATCTGATGCCAGTCTAAATGAAACAGGTTCTGAAAGGGCGCACGGACCCGAGCTGATAAGACGACAGGACCCGAGCTGACAGTTCGCCAGAGAAGTTCCACTTTATTCAAGGACTGCGTGTATATTTATAGGGAGCTGCGTTCCGGGTTTTGATAGGGGGTGGACGGGGCGGTAGCCGATTGGACGGGCCTGGGCAGGAGGTGAGCCTTGACCTGTGACTAGTTGAGGTCTGGCACCGGCGGGCTTCTACTGTGGAGAAGAACCCGGAAGGGCGCCATATTGCTAGGGAATGCTTTCCCCCTCCCCCTCTGCTTGAGTGCCCACGGTATCCTTACAGGTTCAATGGACTACTCTTGTGATTTATTGAGGCATGATCAAAGGGTATAACTTGTGCATTTTATGTTTTTGAGAACTTTTAGAGCTGGATTTTTTGTATTTTTTTTGGTGCGTGTGTGTGACCTAAGGTATGGTCAACTTTTAAGCTGTTCATTTGTTAGATTCTCTGTTGATATGTGTGTGTGTGTGTATACCTTTTGTATTTAGATATATATAGTCAAATTTATTAAAACTTTATATTTATCTTTTCTATTTTTTTGAAATGTGGACTGTTGAGAAAGGTGTGTTAAATCTCATACTATGACTATAAAAGTAACTTTCTTCTGGTTTTGATATCAGTTTTTGCATTATGTATTTCGAAGCTATGTTATTAGAGATATAAAAGTTAGTAACGTGAAAACTTGACTGATTGCATATTTTATCAATAAGAAATTTTGCTCTTCTTCCATTTGATGCTATTTTTCCTTTAATAATAGTTTGCCTGATGTTAATATTGCTGTTTACTTTTTTTTTTTTTTAAAAGATGACCGGTAAGGGGATCTTAACCCTTGACTTGGTGTTGTCATCACCACGCTCAGCCAGTGAGCGAACCGGCCATCCCTATATGGGATCCAAACCCGGGGCCTTGGTGTTATCAGCACCGCACTCTACCGAGTGAGCCACAGGCCGGCCCGCTGTTTACTTTTTGCATTTCTTTATTTTTAGTTGTCCTGTGTCATTTTATCTTGGGTGAATGTCTCATTAACATGCCTTGTAAACTGTATGTGATGGGATATTTTCAAATTCCAATATGAGAGTTTATTTTAACAGTGCATTTAATTAATTCACATTTATTGTGATTATTGATATAGTTGGACTCAGTCTGCTATCTTTTAGATTGGTTGCCTTCTCCGTGTCATTTCTTTCCTCTGATGATTGGGAAGTAAAAAATATCTATTTCAAAGTGATTTTTAGTGGTTAACCTTAAAAGTTGAACACACATATTTACACTTTTTTTCCCCCATCATTATCTAGATTTAATTAGTATCCATCTGGTAGAGTTTGGATGTGCTGTCCCCACAAAACTCATGTGGAAATCTGATTCCCAATTTGACAGTGTTGGGAGCTGTTTGAGTCATGGGAGCAGATCCCTCATGAATGGATTAAGACTGTGGGGTGGGGGTCCAAAGTGAGATCTCGCTCTATTAGTTCCTACGAGAGCTGGTTGTTTAAAAGACCCTGGCACCTGCCTCCTCTCTCCCTCTCTCGCTTCTTCTTGCCATGTGATCTGCTTGTACCTGCCAGCTGCCTGCTGCTTTCCACCATGAGTAGAAGCAGCCTGAGGCCCAGGCCAGATGCAGGTGTCCCAGAATCATAAGCCAAATAAACCTCTGTTCTTTACAAATAACCCAGTTTCGGGTATTCTGTTATAGCAACACAAAATGGACTAAACACCATCCTCTTCACTAGAACATGGAAAGACTGCTGTATTTCTTCTTTTGCTTCCTCTCTCACCTACTTCCTCCTATGTGTTGAGATCACCTGTGATTCTGATGATGGTGGGTTTTTTTTTCTTAAAGAAATATCAAGCCAAAGCCCAACCCCATTCATTTGTTTACCTCTTATTCTCATACGTCATGACCATGAATGCTTTTTAACATTTTTATTATATAAATACATAGTATTGTTTGATATGTTTTAAAGATATTTATAATTTTGTACTCTATCTTTTTACAACTTTTTTTCATTCAATATTCTTTGTTTCATTTTTTAATTTAATGAAGTATACTCTTTAACAGTTCTTTTAAACTGGGACTGTAGTCAGTCTTTGACTATCTGAAAATGTCTTATACCTATTCTCAGGAAATCTTTAGAAGTTTTTCTTTATCTTTAGTATTCTAAGATTTCATACAGATGGATCTAAATGTGTGTTCACTCAATATTTTCTCTTATGTCATAATTTGTCTTGTCTTACAGATACAATATTTTCTCAATCTCTGCAAGAATAAGTCTTTGGATTTTTTCTATTAACTGTTTTTCCTTGGGTATTAGTTCTTTTTTTGAAAAGAGAGGTTGAGTTTGGTACCTCTCTTTCATGGCATTGCTTTTCCCAAATGTTTGATGAATTCACTAGAATTCCTGCACTAGGATGTAAACTCCATGAGAGCCAGGATTGTGCCTGTCTTATTCATCTAGATGAGTACTTGAAAAAGTGCTCATAACGTACAACATATGTCTACATTTAGTAAAACTCTTTTTAAATGAATGGTACATGGTTTTCTGCTTATCTTTGTATTAGATAATTACTGTTCATCTATTGGTGACTCTGGGTTCTTGTTACCATAGCCTGCCTTTATGAATTAGTGAAAGAACCCAAAAGATATGCTAATCTGGATGTGCCCATTTGTCACTTCTTACCATGCAATGGAGACGCAAACATTACTGAGAGCCCAAATATTAAGAGCAGTGAGAAGCCTGGAGGTACTGCACGGAGATAACTCCCTCAGGAAGGGAGAAACAAGGTGCAGACCTGAGTCAGTATTTGTTTCAGCTTTTATTGTAAAGACAAGGAAATACAAGAGAAAAAACAACTTAATCATTTATCAAAGGAATGAAAAGAAATTGGCTATGGGGCAATCTCTGGAAAACATCTTGAGAAACAAAGGAAAGGGAGTAAAGTTGGATAATAAATGACCTTAATGTTCTTATCTAATCTAGCAGAAACTATTTGCTGTTTTCAGCACTTAGGTTCTGCATAAGTGCATTTAAGACTTTTGCCCTTTGTGCACTCCTTGTTCTTTGTCAAGCCTATGTGCTCCCTCCCACACCCCTTTGTCTTTTGACAACTTTTGGGTATTAAGAAAAAGGAAGTGGTTATAAATTCAGTTTTGGTGATGAATCTTCTATTCATTATAAACAGAATCTTTATACCACCTTTCTTGAGGACTGTTACAGGAATTTGATGCACTTGCCTCATTATTTCACTTGTTGTTAATAAATCCCTGTGATACTGGAAATATAATGAATATAGTCAATTGTGTTCTGTATTTGAGTAGTAGACTTTTTTTTTTTTTTTTTAACTCTAAATGTCTCAGGGACAAGTGCATGTCCAATAAATGAGTTTGATTACTTCAGTTTGCCTGTTGTATATAACTACTTTCACTTTGTTTTTCCTCCTGCTACTGTTTGCCTCTGTGTCCCTCAAGGTAGGAAGGGAATTTTGCACATTTGGGGTAAACATGCTGTAAGTCTTTTAAGGACATTGGTTTATTTC